CTTATTATGTATACACCAAGTGTTTTATCAGGATAAATGGATATGAAAACTAGATGAAAGGATATCCATCAACCAGAACTATGTATTGATATTTGAGGGCTCAAAATGCCTCTATTTTTCAGCCATATAATAAATGAAAGGAATATGGGATTCACTATAGTAATACATTCCCCATGTTCATATGTTTGTTTGGAAGTTGTTACTGAACAAATTTTTGCCTATTATTGAAAGATGGTATCAACTAGGTTAACTAGTCCATCTCAATCTCAATCTTTATATTTATCATATCCTTATAAGTCAATCTTAATCTTGTCTCGAACGTGAGATTAATTAGGCTATTATATGTGCTACCTATCTTTCTGAAAGTGACATAAAAACGATTGTCTTTTTGTTTAGTTGGAAGATATTGCTTAATAAGTTGCCTATTATAGAAAAACTGTATCAGCTTGGCATTTTTTTTTCCTATGCACGTTAACACCTCTTTGGAACTAAAAGTGATAAATAAAAATATTTATTTATTAATTGCTCTTTTGTTTGGTTGGAAGATGTTTAATAGGTGATATCTATTATTGAAAGAATACATCAATTGATCATTTTCTCCTAAGTTACCTCTTTGGAACCTAACTAAAAGTGATAAACAATAATATTTATTTATTGATTGCTCTTTTGCCAAATAGTTTAGGTTATGTTTGAACAAAAATTAGATTTTTCAAATGAGTGAATCTTGGCATGATGGACAATAGCTCAAGCAAGTAACTAAGATCGATCAATAAGGCTCATTAACTTTGAGAATATTAATTTTATACACTTTTGGTTAATAAGGAAGGCTTGAAATATGATGGTTTTAGAGGAGAAAAAATTAGACGACTTTTCTAGAAAATACTCATATTTTGAGTATTTTTTAATTAGTATTTTACTTTTTTTTTCAAGCAGTATCCCTAATTAAAAAAAGTTAGCAAACTATCTCTAAAAAAGTTTCTCGCTTGTTATAGTGTTTGTGGTTTATTATAGTGTTTTGACCATCATAATAAAAATATTATAAGACCTACTCAAAAGTATCGTAAATGATCTAAATGGAATCTTAATCACAATCAAACTAATCAATAGCTTTCATAAAATTTTTAATACCATAATAAAATACTATAAATACTATTAAAATACTATAAATGAGCCAAATGAAAATATTATAATAGTTAAAATTAGTAAAATAAATGAGCATAAAGATTCGTTGAAAAAAAATTTGAGGGGTATTTTGGATTTTTCTTAATTAGGGATACTGCTAGAAAAAAATTAAAAAGAGAGGGCACCTTTTGGTTACCTAAAATATGAGTATTTTCTAGGAAAATAATCAAAAAGAACCTACTACTTCTATTTTCTATAAGGTAATTGTGCATGCACATAATGCATAGGATCACTATTTTATAGTAAATTAAATTTATACTTATGAAATTATCACTCATTGTATACACTAATTTACAAATAAGAACACTAAGACCTTACTCGTGATGAGAAAGCATGAGCTCATGCTAGTGTAAATATAGATAATGACTTATAGACATTTTTATATGTATAAATTCTAAACATAATATACATATGTGTCAAATATCAGTGTACCTAAAGTTAATATATTTCAAATTTGTCCATTTTTTCACTATACTATTTTTGAGAGCATATGTTATGGATGGAATAAAGTTCAATAAATCTAATGGAAAAACCCTATGGATTGTCAGACTTGGGTTAAATGGCAAATGCCTACTGAGAATTAATTCAAACTAAATACAAATGGCTCTTTTATTTCTTAATTATTTATGATACCTATAATTGTTTAAAATAACTTGATTATTTTAATATTAGAACTTTTAATAATATTTTTTTAAAATTATATAATTTTATATTGAAAACTTAGTGTAGGGACCTAATTGAGAATTCTAGAATTTAAGAGTGGTTTGTGATAAGTTAGTGGGAAAAAAAGTAATTACATACTGTTATTTTGTTGCTACCTTATTCTTGCTCTATCCTGGACACATTAAAATGTTATTTTCTTACATGCTTGCCACTTTACAACATTAAGATTTAGCTAAGAACTAAAAATTACAGAACAAAATTTAGAATCTTACATGTTGTAACTAAAAATTACCTACCATGGCACACTTGGGAAAGAGAGGGAAGTGAAGGAGAAGAAAAAGAGAAGGTGCTTGGTTTTGGTTTGAGAATTTGGTCTAATTTGGTATCTCCAAGTAAAAAAAATAGAAGGTATTTGGTCTAATTTAATATCTCTATGTAATTAACCCTCTATTAGCAAACATTCTATCTGATCCTAAAGAAAAATGATCTCTAGTTTCTTATTATTTATGAGTAATTAGTTATCCCTTGCTCTGAGTATAAACTTCAATTGAGTTATAAACTCCAAAATCCTAAAATTAAGAGCATGCTTATCTTTATTTTAACTGTAATGTTATGTATGAAATTATAAATTGAGTACAATTTATCTTTTATAAATTAGACTTATAGATATTTTCATCAACAATGATTCGAAACACAAACGTCTATCGAAACATGTATTTCAAGTGATCCCTTTGATTCTTCGTAACTCTATATAGACAATTCTAATTTATATGAAACTTATTTTATTGAAAAATAGACTCCTTTATCATTCCATCAAAATATTATTTGAATGAATTGGATCAACAATATCCACTCAAATGCATGTTGAATTTTTAAACAAGCAAAATAATTAAAATATAAAAATAATTTAACTTGTTTAACATTTTGGTAATACATTTTGCTGATGTTTATCTTTGTAGCGATGCAAACCATGCTATGCAGCATGATTAATCCAACATGATGTTGTTTTCTTATTATTTAAAAATATCTATGCATGGAAATATTAAGTAATAAATAAAAATTATGAATATTGATATATGAGAGTATATTGTTAGGATCGAGTTGGCACTAAGAGGGAGGGTGAATTAGTGCAACGGATAAAATTACGTCGGTTCGAAAAAATTTTCGTTTGATTAACACCGATTTCGGAAAGATGTTAACTTAAAACACGTTTATAAGAGTGTGCAGCTAAAGTAATTAGGAAGTATGATAGTTTGCAATAAATGTAAATAGCAAAACAGAAATACAAACTAGATTTTATAGTGGTTCGGTCGTCGTGACCTATATCATTCCTCTTCCATCGAGGCCACTGGTATCCACTAACGATCTTTCTTCAATAAGCGAAGACCAACCTCTTTCTTATAACTCTATTGTCCTTTTGACAGGCTCAGGAGAGAACCTTTACACCCCCACAACCTGCTCTTTTAGACTTCATTAACACTTAGAGTTTAAGAGGAGTTCACACAAGATTACAACAGTGTTTTCTTCCTTTTTTGCTCTCAATTCTTATGTGTCTTAACGAGGGATGAGAGGGGCATTTATAGGCTTCAAGTGGATTCAAACTTGGAGTCTAAAAGTTTCTCATCCCTGATTTTCGGGGTACTAGATGTACCACCGCCTATGTTGGGCGGTACCACCGCCTGCAGCATTGACACTAGGCGGTACCACCGCCCAGTCTGACGGTACCATCGCTTGACACTCTGCCACTAGGTGGTACCACTGCCCAATCTAGCGAAACTACCGCCTAATAGTCTCTCGAAGACTGTGTTTGGGCAGTACCACTACCTGACACAATCTCGGAGATTGTGCCACGACGATTCCACTTGTTGGATCATTGTTTGGGCTTTTTACTTGGCCCAACATAACCCAAACTTGGGCATAGTTGGCTCCTAATTGAGTTGGCTTAATTATATTCTAAACTAACTCAATTAGACTCTAAACTAACTCGATCTAGACATAATCGATTACAAGCGAATCCTATGTTATCCGGCACGTCATTGGTTCTTCCAATGCTTCATCCGATCCTTCGGTGTATTGCCTAATCAGCATGTTGTCTTCTCACAATATATGATCTCCTTAGTGCAATGTCCGATCTTCTTGACCCTATACCCGAATTCATGAACCGAAACCTTCTACTGACATGCCGATCGATCCTCCAGCCCAACGTCCAATCTTCTGACATGTTTGCTCCGGCCCAACATTTGATTTCTCCTGCTTTAATTGATTTATCTTTTATGATCGAAGTTAGTCATGTATCACTTAAACGCACATTAGATGACAAACACATCAATTAATTTTATCATCAAAAAATGAGATTCAACGTACATGTGTACTACAAGCAAGCTACTAATGATAGTACAACTTCTTATTCGGATTAGGGAGTCATTAAAATGCGATAGCTAGATAATTACTCAGAGAATAAAATATTTTCATTCATCATTGCATGTTCGACTTACGATAATGATCTTAATTATGTAAAACAAGTACATGCATATATAAATTATTTAGATACTACATATATTATTTTCAATAAGGAAATTTGATAATTATGAGACAGACTATGTGGATGACTGATTTTATTTATAACCGACATTGTATGAATGCATATTGAATGAATCAATCCCTGGATAAATTTATATACTCTCTTGTCCCTATTTTGTATCAATTTTTTTCACATATGATATACTCATTTGATTATATGTATGAAATACGCACTACACCAGAATGTTATTATTGATTTTTTTCTTTAATTTTTGTTCCCTATGGCATTTATGCTCACTAAATTTACCCTTTTGGATTATAAAGGTAGGTAGCATTAGAAGAATGTCTGATATGAAAAGAAAACTATGCTACTGATTATATATGGTAATATTGCATAGAAAATCGTATTGGAAACAGATTCATGCATGATAACATACATGAAGTGTAATGTTAGGAATTAAATTATCGCATGATGTTGTGATTCACGCAAGTCAAAGAGAACAAAACTGTCTGGAGCTTATACCTGCGCTGCTGAAACCTCAAAAAACCATGAATTTTTCATGGTTCATCGATATAGTTTAGCGACAGGAATGCCTTCAGAAAGTAGCTCCAGCAAATCAACGTTCACGTACGTCTTATGCAATGTACATGTTCATTATTAGAAAACAACTGATCATTTGCAAAACATGCAAAGAATGAAGAGTAGAGATCACCTATGGTATGTCTGAAGAAAACAAAACTGGTTTAGAAGCTGTACACGTTTGAACGAAACAAATTTTGCAACAATTAAAATGCATACCGTCTACCATTTCCATCTAAGAATTGATCAGTGTGCCATCCTCTCATCTTCAATTCAGATAAGAAAAATGGAAAAACACTCTCCATCCTTTCATATGCTGCATACAACATGGGTACTCCTGATTTCTGACCTGCCGTCTTCATATCTGCTGCAAAAGCTGCAACCAACCACCCCCTTAGTGCATCCTCCCCTGATGCGTTCTGCTCAAGGACCATGTAGTTGCATTTGTTCTTCAGGCTGATCAGAAACTTTTCCTTTGGGAATATGTCCTTCAGTTCTCTCAGCGTCGAAGGCTTCTTCACAATCTTTTTAAGTGGTTGCCCAACCATCACACCTCCTGCTTCCTCTATAATGCGGTTAGGAAAGAGAAGATCTTCTCGGTATCTAATGTCAGCTGGGCTAGAAACTTTTCCACTCTGATTCAGATGCAAGCATAAGAATCAGCACAAAGTACAAAAGGTCATGAATGTTACTCCGTGTGGCTTAGTTAGCACCTTGACGAAATCTGCTATGATCATGGCTGTCCTCTGTGGATTAAGTGTGTTCACTGGAGCTGCTCGCATTTCTTCTACAACACTATAAATATGTATCACAGAAAGCAGAGGAGCCACTATCATCTGCAAGGAAGAAAGCTTGGGAATTTAGAAGCAGCATCTGTTGCTCACCAGAAGATACTGCCGCACAAGGTGTTTCTAAACTTGAAGACAGTAGTACCATGCCCATAAGGTCATGTTTTAATATAAATAAATACATACAAGCATCTCTGCTATATTATTATTATTATTATTATATATATATATATATATATACACACACACACACACACACATACACACACACGCGCACACACACATATATATATAGGGTGATCAGCCAGACCTGACCATGCTACAAGTACTAATGCTGCCATAGGTGCTGAGGGATCCCAACATGGCACCAAATCTGAGTAGCCTCCCTTCTGCATGAAGACCGCGATTGCAAGGGACTCCCTATGTGGTCCGACTGATGCCCAAGTATGTAATCCCAAGGTGGATGAGGTAGGATAAAGGAGAGTGAATCTAACCTCAAAGACCATGCCTACAACCACCTTTTATATCTGATGCCCCCTGTCCGTGTACAATTAGAGAAATATAACCTGAAACTGTTCTGATTGCGACTGATGTGGCGGAGTTGTTCATTGGGTCAATAATATGACTTCCACGTATCCAGCCTAAAGTGAGTGAATACTCCCCATATCATTTGTCCCCCTAGAGATTGTACTTTGGGTAACACTTGACTAGATGTTGAAGTGCAATAACTCTCAACTTTTAACTGACTCATTGGCTGCTGTTGAGAATTACTTGAAAACCCAACTAACAGGAATAGATAGGGTGATATTTGATAGTCCAAGAAGGGCACATCCGACACTTTTGATGCTTAGTCCATAGAGGACATATCAAGTGATCTTCAATTCTTAACTCGAGGACACATCGAGAAATCTTCGATGCTTAGTCTGAGATGATACATCAGGCAATCTTCGATGCATTGAGGAATCTATGATGCTTAGCCTAAGGAGGATGCATTGGGCAATCTTCGATGCTTAACTCGATAAGGGCACATTGAACAATTTTCAATGCTTTAGCCTGAGAAGGGTGTCGCGAGCAATCTTTGATGCTTGGTCCGAGGGCACATTAAGCAACTTTCAATTCTTGGCTTGATAAGGACACATTAAGCAACTTGCGATGCTCAGTTCGACAAGAGCGTATTAAGTAGTCTTCAATGCTCAACCCAAGGAGGGCGCATCAAGCAACCTTTGATGGTTAGCTAAGATGAGTGCCTCGGACAATCTTCAATGCTTCTCCCTAGGGGATACATTAGGTAATTTTCAATACTTAGCCCAAGGAGCGCTCATCGAGGAACTTTTGATGCTAAGCCCAAGGAGGGGCATCAAGCAATGTTTGATGCTTAGCTCGAGGAGATCCACCAAGCAAGTTTCGATGCTTAGCCCGAGAAGGGGTATCAGACAATATTTGATGCTTAGTCCAAGGAGGGCAAATCGAGTAACTTTTGATACTTAACCTGAGCAACATGCATCAAGCAATTCTTCCATGCTTAGCTCGAGAAGGGCACATCGAGCAACTTTCGATATTGTTAGGGAAACAATGTCGTTGACGTCTTCGTCAGCACAACATGGCCCTTATCCATATGCGAGGAGTCGTTTGGAATAAAACATAACCTCTCCAGACTCATTACCTGCACAAAGACTAAGATCGAGTGTAGCTTCCCAAGCCGATCCCTCCGATGCTTAAGTTAGTACCAAGATCCCTACCTCTAATTTAGAGTTAAGGGTGCGTTTTTATACCGACTTTGAGGAGAAAGAATATCCTATAAATATTTCGTAGGGAGGCAGATTATAACCAACCCGAGCTGCACCTTGGACTTCTAGGAATCTTCCTGTGAATATTCTGTAGGGGAGGCAATTCGTAACCAACCCAAGCTACCTCTTGGACTTTCGGGAGTATTCATACGAATATTTCGTATGGGAGATAGTTCATAACCGACCCAAGCTACCCCCTGGACTTCCAAGAATATTCTTGTGAATATTCTACGAGGGAGACAGCTTGTAACTGACCTTAGCTGCCTTTTGGACTCTTATCCATATTGACAGAAGGGTATTAGCATTACGTGGCATCGACATGACGAATGGTGGTTAATTGATTCTATATTCCCTATCATTTGTCTCCTCACGAAGGCGTGCTTCGAAGCTTTTGGGGTTCAAAGCGCGTCATTTGGTTTTTTTTAATTATTTCTTGTAGGTTGAGTTTTCATGTGTCTTGGGCATACTTCGCCTTGTGATTCTGCCAGAGCGATTTTTTACTTGGCGCAAGTCGGAGTTTCCTTGACTCGTGTGCCTCGAGCACCCTTTAGCCTAATCTTCAGCTATAACGGGTTTCTTTTTACACAGGTCGAGTTTTCCCGACTCATGTTTTGGGCATACTTCGCCTTGTACTTTCGTTATAGTGATTTTTATTTGGCACAAGTCGAATTTTCCTCAACTCGTGTGCCTCGGGCACTCTCTGGCGTGATCTTCTGTCGTAGTAGGTATCTTTTTATGCGGATCGAGTTTTCCCGATTCACGCATCTTGTCGGAGCAATCCGGAGGAGACACTTGTTCACGGAGGGTGACTACATCGTATGAGGGTGGAAAACTACCTTCCCCGATCGGCACCATGTGGTAATGGGTTTGATTCCCACAGGCAGTGCCAAGCATATCTTCTTTATATCCTCCTCGGTTGGCGCTTGAATAATGGAGGCAAAAGAGAGAGAGACACTCAAGGAAGTTTCCTTAATTGGCGCTTCAATATCGTCGGAGAGAGAGATTCCCCCATATCCTCCTCGATTAGTGCATCGACAACAGGGGAGAGGGAGATTTCTCCATATGTTCCTCGATTCGTGCCTCAGCAGTTGATAGAAGAGAGATTTCTTCCTTGATTGGTGTCTCAACAGTAGGCAAGGGAGTGTCCCTTCGATGTAGTCCCAAAGGAACACTTGCACCAATCTCGAGAGGAGAGAGGTCATCCTTTGTCCATAAACCTCCCTTGGTTTATTTAATGGGACTCATTCCACTGCTCAAGCCCTAACTTTGGAAGCTTTTTCTTGGCTTCAATTCCAAAAAGGTGAGTCGATCCTTAGGTCGTCCAGCATCCAACTTCTTTAGTGGGGCTCATTCCATTGCTCAAGCCCTAACTTTGAAAGCTTTCTTCTTGGCTTCAATTCCAAAAAGGTGAGTTGATCCTTAGGTCATCCAGCGTTCAACTTCTGCAACTCAGGCCGGGGTGTCTCTCCCCTCTCACACGAGTTCTTTCCAGTCCACCGACTACTAGTCGATCGAAGTCCATACCTTGTCCTCCTATAGTTCAAGGTGGAAAGGGGTCCTGAATTCAAGCGAAGCGAAGCAGTGGTCGGGCAGCCTACTGAATTCTCTAATCAAGGAGTCGGGTGCTCCCTCGACCAGTGGCTTGATAGGCCTTGGATGCCCATAAGAGGTTGGCAATTCATCGGGCAAGACTCCAACGGATGTCAATGCTAGTGGTTGCCAAACTAATGACGATGGCCGATGCGGCATAGTCACCCACCGATCTGACCGAGGTAGAAGTGAGGTAATAACCCATATTATGTCGGCTAATGCTTGTATTTGCTATATAAGGTTCAAGAATGCCTCAGTAGGAATAAGTAGATGGCTCGACAGCTCTCCTAGAGATGAGATTCTAGGGTCGTTTAACGAACGCCAGTACTACATTGGTGCTCGCAACGAGGTGGAGGTATCGATGTAGGGAAAGGGCAACTACTGCCCTATCTGAGTGAAAGTGTCGAACTCGGAGGCGGAGCCTCACCCGAATGTTAATAGAAAGGGTCGGCCTACAAACGCTCCTACGACATCGGAGGTTCATGCCCTCCTTCTAGCACCAAAATATTAGGGAAAAATGTCGTTGATGTCTTCATCAACACAACGCAACCCTGATCTGTATGCGAGGAGTCATCCGGCATAGAGTGCGACCTCTTCAGACTCGCTACTTGCATAAAGACCGAGGTCAAGGGTAGCTTCCCGAGTCGGTCCATCCGATGCTTAAGTTAGTACCGAGGTCCCTACCTCTAATCTAGAGTTAAGGGTGTGTTTATATACTAACCTTGAGGAGAAGGAATATCTCATAAAGATTTCGCAAGAGAGGCAATTCGTAACCGACCCGAGTTGCCCCTTAGACTTTCGAGAATCTTCCTATGAATATTCTACAAGGGAGGCAGTTGGTAACCGACCCGAGTTACCCCCTGGACTTTCAAGAATATTCCTACAAATATACCATGGGGGAGGTAGTTTGTAATCGACCTAAGCTACCCCTTGGACTTCTAAGAATATTCTTGTGAATATTCCACGGGGAAGATAGTTCGTAACCAACCCAAGCTATCCCCTGGATTTCCAAAGAATATTCCTACAAATATTCTGCCAGGGGGCAGCTCGGTAATTGACCGGAGCTACCTTTTGGACTCCTATCCACGTGGGCAGGAGGGTGTTGGCCTTACGTGGCATTGACATAGCGAATGTTGGCTAGCTACTTTTATATTCCCTATCAAATACTTAGCTTGAGAAGAGTAGATCGAGCAATCTTCGTTACTTACCATAGAAGGGCACATCAAAACACTTTTGATACTTAGCCCAAGAAAGGCATATCAGACAATTGTTGATGCTTAGCCAAGTAGGATGCATTGGACAACTTTCGATGATTAGTCTGAGGATGCATCGAGTAAACTTTGATGCTTAGCCCAAGAAGTTGATCAATTCTCACATATTTGCAAATGTCGCCACATGTGCCAATTGTCATTATTAAGTGAGATACCAAAGATGATAAGGCGAGAATCTAAAGGTGGAAAAGGTAAGAAGATGAAGAGGCATTTGCAATTCAAACAGCCTCAGTCCCCTATATATATAGCCTCTCAGTGAGGGGACCCCATTGCATCTTGAGCATTCAAAGTCCTCCCACTACTCGACTTTAATCAATGTTGCCTCATATTTCCTCTATCCTCTACTCCTTAGGTCAGGTATCATGGTGATAAAGAACCATTTAACTTTATAAAGGTTCTA